ATATTTAAGAATAAACCCGAGGCTGAGAGTTTGAAAAGACTTTATCCCTTTGGGTTAAAAATTTGTGATAACAATACAACAATATGTGTTAACTAAACCGCATAAAATTGTTCCTTTCTCTAAAAGGAAAAACTATTCGAGAAACAACAAAAAGCCGGTGCACTAGCCGTATGTCCGATGCCAATAATAGCATTTCGAAAGAAGTCATGTGTGTCAATGATATCAGCTGGCTTTATTGCTTGCAGACTTCAACCGACATTCTAAAACGCTATATTAGCTAAGAATATTCACAAGATTATTTTCAGCCTAAAATCGGCAGAAAAATAAGAATATTTAGCCTGGGCCGGAAAAACAATATTCTTATTAAAAAAAATCGAATGTACCAAGTGAGCAAAACATACATGAACTTTGAGAGGCACTGGTAGTGCAGTCTATGGTAGAATGAAATATACTCTCGGTCTGTGTGGTGAAAAAACTTGGCTCATTTTGTGTAAAGTATTTAAAACAGTTGGAAAACTCTGTTATACATTCTTATTCTAAAATCTCAGGTTAGCGAACTGAGGTCTTTTTGTTTTACTGCTAAGTGACCACTGAATAACAGAGNTGTGTAAAGTAGTCAAAACAGTTGGCCTGAAAACTCTGTTATACATTCTTATTCTAAAATCTCAGGTTAGCGAACTGAGGTCTTTTTGTTTTACTGCTAAGTGACCACTGAATAACAGAGCCGGTGAAATAAAGAGGTAGTTATCTCTTCTATCTTGTTTGCATAAGATGGAGGCTACAAAAGATAGCTACGGTTTACTCGGCGTCTGGTATGTATTATCACAACTTTTCAGAAGCAATAAAAGTCGAAATCCTTGAAAAAATAGGCCTTATGTTGTACCAAAAGCGTATATATATTTTCTGACTAATGATGTTGGCTTGTTTGCTCAGCTGACAAGGGACTCAAAACTTAATTCTCGTGGCTGGCAAAACCGGGAGACTGGGTAAATGCTCAAAGATCTGTCGTTCTCCCTGAGATGTTGTGCTATTTATAAAAAATATTCGAGAAAGTGTATTACTTAATTAGTGATTCGTCAACGCGAGGATAAAGTTTCTATTTAGCAGTTCCAGTAAGGTCCACAAGTCCACTTCGAATTAATGGATTTAATGAATCAAATTGTGTTTGCCAATTCAAAGAACTTTGCCCGAGACAAAAAATGTTAAACAGTATTGAAACGCAAATCATGTAACTCGAGAATTCGAGCCAATGCAGAACTGCCGGTTAATTTTTGTTTAAAGGTTTTTATTGCGTGTGCGTACCAGGTTCACATTATATTCAGTTTTAAATAATATTTTCTCCACCGGGTTTGATTGAATTTAAATACGTTATTGGTCATACGCTTTACTCACTTAAAATCAGTCACGACAGTGTTTCAAGTAATAGATCAAAAACGAGTGCGAGTTTTTCATCAGGGGTTCCAAACACCGAGAAACAGATGAA